AAACTGCTCCAACATGTGGCGCTTTGTGGCTGTAAACTCTAGAGCTTGATGTCTAGGCGCAGTTAACTTGAAAATTTTTCAGTTCGATATTGCAGTTCACTTCCATCTTATGCTTCCAATAATCACGAAAATGTTTGGAACAATGTGACAGAGCATGTTTTATGAGTAATATTGAGTGCTATGAGGGCAAGGTGCTACCCGAGCACCAGCTCTACGTGCAAAAGGCGCGAGCCGTGCTTGGAAGTGTGACGAGAAAAACACTAAAAGCTTTTTGCTACAGTTTGACAAGTGTCTCTGTTCATAGCGTGCTCTGAGCCCTTTCATAAGTAGCCATTATCATCAGCTCACAGACTCAAAATAAAAAGCCTGTCGGGATTGAGGCTTCTCTGTCAGGTGCGCTTTTTGCCAATTCTTGCCATCCCATGTCCGATTGTGTCTTTCCTATCCTCCGCAACTCTTAGGCGATTTGTCAGCAGGGGTGACATTAGCATCCCTCACCTGGTGCTGGATGTTGACGGTGGCGCCGTGTATGAGTGTTGTGAGACATTTCACGCTCGGTGGGAAGACTATCTCTGGACAGCGTTGGGTGAACGCGTGTCTTTCCCCTTTGTTCTGTGGGGTCTCGGCGAAGCGAACGAGCGCATCGCCACGCCACGCTCTTGGAGTGAACGGACACAGCAGACGCGGTCGGTACAAAGCACACAACATACATACATTTATTAAAAAATTTAGACGACGATATCGTCCGCCGAATGATACATCAATTTAACTAACACGCTACCATACAAACAACATAACGCAGTGACACACTAAACACACAATAACATGATAAACACACACTAACACACAACACACTAAGACACAACACACTAACACACAACACACTAACACATACCCAAGGCGGGGGCGCCAACGCTTGACTTACCACGTGGGACCCCGGAGCGAAGCCCGCGGTGCCGAGCACCGGGGACCCACGCTACAGACAACTGTTCGCGGCAGCCGCCACGCGCAGAAAAGGCTTGCTCAACCCTCGCCCACCATCAAGGCCTGCCTTCCGCCAGGGGCCACCACCGGCGCTACCACTCTACCAACAGTGGTACTCAAAGCGAACGCAACGCCATCTATCACCCGGCGGTGGTCGCCACCGAAACAAAGCCTTGGGGCGAGACACGTGCGCCCTGCGGCACAGACAACTTTACAGGGGGGGTGTCAGCACCCTCACATTCCCCCAACCTTAAATCAAACCATATCCCGAAAGCAAAAATTAGCTACACAAGCTTTAACAAAAAAAATGATATCGCACGACCATAATGGCCTTGCACCACGACACCGCCGCTGATCGACACTGCTGCACTGTCCGGCTAGACTTCACCTCAGTACCGGCCCCGCAACAGCAACGTTGCCGTCGGCGCGACGATTTGTCGCTAGCACCGACACGTCTTCCAGTTGCGACCAGCACTCGCGAGGGCGCCGGACTGCAGGCAGTTGCGCAGGTCCCAGGCATCTCCATCGCCCGACCTCACGACCACATTCCTGGCCAGCGACGCTGACGATGTGCAGGACAGCCGGCCGTGGATTACATCCCTCCCGCTGAATACATCAATAATAACAACAAAAAAAAAAACTTGAAAAAAAAACAATCGAGCAGGTCCTCGGGAAGGGAGCTTTGAGCTTTTCGTCCACGTGGACGTTGGTCAGTACTGCTGGCTAATGCATCGGTGGCGGCCGAGACGTCCATCAATATAAAACAAAAATCCCTTTTCCTAACTTGTGCTCACAAGAAAAAAAAAATGAGGGAAGCAGAGCGCAACACCTCAACGCCACGATCCACCTAGTTGTGCCACGTGCGACAGGCGGCTGCGCAGAGCCTTAGGCCTAATGAGTCGCTCAGCAACATCCGGCATCCACCCAGCACCCAGCCTAGGCGCAGAAGAGGCAGCCGCGAGGAGACGTCCACTCTGTGAGGTGGCCCCATCGCTCGCCGCACACAGCAGCTTACCGAGCCGCTCGGCAACAACCGGCATCCACCCAGCACCCAGCCTAGGCGCAGAAGAGGCAGCCGCGAGGAGACGTCCACTCTGTGAGGTGGCCCCATCGCTCGCCGCACACAGCAGCTTACCGAGCGATCGGCGTCCATCGCCCCGGGCGGTGTCACGACGCCTCGGCGTCGAGCCGCAATACCAGACAGCAACGACGCCCGGCTCCCTGAGCACAAAGATATAGAAGAAGCTATTTACAGAAAATCAGACCACCCACGAGGCTTCCGTACTCACTCGCTTCGGGCCTGGCCTACAAACCCCAGCATGCGGACCGCATGGCTCTCGTCCCAATTCAACATTGTTTTTGAAAACTAACTACAACTAAAAAAATAACAACGCTTGCGAGCAAAAAAAAAATAAATAGAAAGTCAACCTGCCGACAAATTCAAACACGTTACAAAACCAATCTCCTCGCTTCTCAACAAAGCACACCACCGACGCTAGCAATGAAGTCCCCTCCTAGGCCTACTCTACTCCGGCTCTAACAAAAACCCTGTATTGAACTGCAAAACTGTCGTGCGATACTCCAAGAGCTCCACGTTGGGCAGCCAGTGTGGGGTCTCGGCGAGGCGAACAAGCGCATCGCCACGCCACGCTCTTGGAGTGAACAGACACAGCAGATGCGGTCGGTACAAAGCACACAACATACATACATTTATTAACTAATTTAGACGATGATATCGTCCGCCAAATGATACATCAATTTTAACTAACACGCTATCATACAAACAACATAACGCAGTGACACACTAAACACACAATAACATGATGAACACACACCAACACACTAACACATATCCAAGGCGGCGTCGCCAACGCTTGACTTACCACGTGGGACCCCGGCGCGAAGCCCGCGGTACCGAGCACCGGGGACCCAGCTACAGACAACCGTTCGTGGCAGCCGCCACGCGCAGAAAAGGCTCGCTCAACCCTCGCCCACCACCAAGGCCTGCCTTCCGCCAGGGGCCACCGCCGGCGCTAGCACTCTACCAACAGTGGTACTCAAAGCGAACGCAATGCCATCTATTGCCCGGCAGTGGTCGCCACCGAAAACAAAGCCTTGGGGCGAGACACGTGCGCCACGCGGCGCAGACAACTTTACAGGGGGGGGGGGGTGTCAGCACTCATAGTTCTTGGCATTTGCTCAGACAGAGTTTGCTAGCCATGCACCAGCGGCGAACATTCCCTTACGTTGCCCCTCCTGAACGCTTGACCGAAGAGTCGTGCGGTGTCTTCGCACATGGTCATACTATGCCTAGCTGCACTGATCGAAAGCCAACACGTGCGAAATTTGCCCACCCCCGAGCATTCAGGCCCTGTGGTCGCTGATCATGAGAGCATGCAGTGTAGTCACGAGGGACTTCTTCCTTAGTGGTGTGTTGCCATAGAAGCATGTTAGCGGAACCCCTTGTGTATTTTTGCCTGTGGTGTATTTAAAGGCCGACTCCGGCGATAGTTTCGAGGTCATTGGGTTTGTTCAGTTTGCGCATTTGCACTATTCATGCCAAATTACAGGCTTGAGAGTTTTGCAGACTCTTTTAAAATGAATTTTATAGCTTGCCTACAAACGCCCACTTCGCTTGCCGGAGTTAATGGCAACTTTGTGTGCGTGCATTGATTTTCATAAGAGACGAAGGTGTCAGAACTGATGTGCCACTACAGCGCCTGCTTGTCTGTTATGGATTATGTGTGTTCGTACAGCGCTTTCTTGGGAGAGCATGAGATTTTATATTCTGTAAGGGTGAGCATGCGATGGGTGGCAAGTGGTAGTGTGTTGTGGGCCGCACATGATTTATCATAACAGCGTAGGCGTTTTAGCCGATTGCTGCAGGCACCAACTTGGACAGCTGGAACAAGTAGTGCCATCTGGCAGCGTTATGCACAACCAAGCAAGCAAATACGAAAATCTGCTCTGTTTCATCAAAGAGGAGCAGCAATGCTTGTAGACTTTCAAATGCCATATTAGCTGTCATTGTTTGACAGCTCCAAGGAGCTTATGCGTGAGGCATGATCAGTCACAAAGATGGCGCGGTATTGTTGGCGTGGTGACCTATACACTGAGCGTCTGCTCTTCACAGCTTTCGCAGTTTTTGTACTCCGCGCTAGCAGGAACGGTGTGCCTTGCAAGATTTCCGGTTCTGGAAAACTAGTGCGTCAGATGTAGACAGTGCACTCAGTGGGGTCTCTGTTTTCATATTGCGGTTTTTCGCTTACTAAAAGTTAACTTCAAATTTGTTAAGCATTTCAGCTATCGTGTGTATGGCAAGAGTGTCTCAAGAAGATAGAAGCACCATTACCCTGACATAATAAAAAGATTGCCAGAGCTGGCCTTTCAGCTTTTTTGCTTTTTCCGCTGCATTTGGAAACAGGGGTGATAGGTTTTGTAGCGTTGCTGTGGGCAACAAAGTGTTGCGGAAATTCTGAGAGCAGAACTGTGTACTTGCCACGCTGCGCTCGGCACCTTTGCTGCTCAAACACTTGTGCAGTGGTGCGCTAGGTCACATGAAGTGATGGCAAACGTGGCTCGCTGAGTCCGAGCCCATACTAGTGGCCGTGCTCCTGTGAGATGCGTGCACACTTCAAGCCCAAGGTGCGTCCCACTTTTGTTCGTGGCCTAAAGTCGTCTCTGGGAAGGTTGTTCTGGTGCCCACTTTTCAAATAAAGTTCTTTTAAAACAAATTATTTTTTGGCTTCCACAGTTTGTACAATTCATTTTGGAAAAAGTATAGCAAGAATTGCCAGCAATAGGCACTGAACAAGACAATTTTAACCTAGCCTGACTTGTTTTCTCCGTTTTCCTCATGTCTCATGTTAGTTGGAATGGCACTATCAGAACTGAAGTGTGAGTTACCTTACATGCTGGTTTTCAAGGTTTCTTTATAAGTCTCAACCACTTTTATGACTTACCAATCAAGTATGTTCACTATTATCTTATATTTTTTGTCTTTATTTCTCACCCAGACCATTGGGAGGTGCTGAAGAATCATCACAGAAAATGTCCAAAAGGAGTGTCTGCAACAAGTACAAAAGTAACATGCCTGGGCATTGCACCTCGAGCAAAGAATGTACGACAAAGCATCAGACTGTTCACATGGAGGAGAATTGCTATGCCTGTGCAGTCTGCGGAAAGGACTTTGCTCATAAAATGGGCCTTATCCAACATCAGCGTCTCCACGCAGGCGAGAAGCCCTTCGCTTGCACTGTCTGTGGCCAGAAGTTTACACAGAAAGCTCGTCTCACTAGGCATGGAGCAGTGCACATGGATGAAAAGCCATACCTCTGCACAGACTGTGGTCACAGGTTCGCTCACAAAAGCAGTCTAATAAAACATCAAGTCACCCACAAGGAAAAAAATCCCTACCCTTGTCTCGTCTGCAGCAAGCAGTTCACCCAGCTGTCAAGTCTCACTAGGCACATGGTTGTTCACACTGATAAGGAATTGCACTGCTGCTCGGAATGTGGTCGCAGGTTTGCTTACAAGAGTGATCTCCTTGCACACGAAATAATCCACAAGGAAAAGAAGCCCTATGTGTGCCTCATCTGTGGCCGGCAGTTTGCACGGCGATTCACTTTCAGTCTGCACAAGGCTGTCCATGCAGATCAGAAACCACACTCTTGCTCAGTCTGTGGTCACGGGTTTGTTTACAAAAGTAGCCTTGCAAAGCACATGTTCGTTCACAAGGAAGAGAAACCATACGCTTGTCTCGTCTGCAACCGACAGTTCACCGAGAAGTCAAGTCTCACTAGGCACATGGTTGTTCACAAGAAAAAGAAACCATCATACACTTGTCTCACCTGCAACAAGCAGTTCAACCAACAGTCAAGACTCACTAGGCACATGGTTCTTCACACGGATAAGGAATTGTACTGCTGCTCAGATTGTGGTCGCAGGTTTGCTTACAAGAGTGAACTCCTAGCACATGAAATAATCCACAAGGAGAAGCCCTACACTTGCTCCATCTGTGGCCGGCAGTTTGCTCGGCTAGTAAATTTCAATTTGCACAAGGCTATCCATGCAGATAAAGAACCGTACTCCTGCTCAGTCTGTGGTCGCAGGTTTACATACAGGAGTAGTCTAAGGATGCACGAGTTCATTCACAAGGAAGAGAAACCATACGCTTGCCTTGTTTGCGGTTTGAAGTTTGTCCACAATGCAAGTTTCATTCGGCACAAGAGTAAGCATACGGGTTTGGTGGAATATGCATGTAGTGTGTGCCCATCCAAATTCTTCGCGAAGGCATCACTGGACAGACACAAGAAGCTGCATGCAGCTGGAGTGCAGTTGTTCCACTGCACAGAGTGTAGCTGGGCTTTTCTTGAAAAAACAGCACTGGAGAAGCACTTGAAGGGGCATAAGACGGACAAGCCATACCTGTGCCACCTTTGTCCATCAAGATTCACTAAGAGATGTAATCTCAAAGCTCATGTGAAAAGACACACTGGTAAAAAGCTGTACGAGTGTCCCATTTGCCAGAGACAACATTCTAGGCCTTCATACCTCAAGGAGCACATGCGCCGAATGCACCCTGGAGAAAACGTATTGGTGAGCCCTCAGACCAGCCAGCCTCCAGTAAGTGAAACATTCTGAAGCATTTAAGGTCTCCACACGCACTACTTGCACAGCCACCCTGCACGTAACGGGACACCTGCCGCACGCAGACGAAATGCAAAAGAGCATTGCCAATTTGCTCTTTTGCCTTCAGCTTGCGTGCCGCAGGTGTCCCGCCACGTGCGGTGCGGCTGTGCAAGTAGCGCGTGTATTGGCCCTCACCTAGCTCTTTAAAAAAAGTTTTTGTGCAGTACATGTGCTCAAAATGAAATCGATGCAAAAAGGTTATTGTTAAACATTTCTTCGTGCCAAAGACGGGAGTGTGCTGGAATACCTTGACTTTTTGTCGCAACAGTTTTCATGGTGATGATGTTATCGGTCTTTGGGGTAGGTTTAAAAAACATATGCATGCATTGTGTTGATCATTTAATTTCTGAAAAAAAAAAAAACAAAGGAAATATAAAAAAACCATCCCCCCGCAGGGGCGTCTGCGTAACAGGCGTTTGGTGTGTAGCGAGACCTTGGACACGAAATAACGGGGGGTTTCGACCTCTCCCGCGCCTGCCGTGTGTGGCTGAGCCATGTCCGAGGAAAAGGGAATCCTGGTGGTTGAGCCGACACCGGGTGATTGGACCTTTAAGGCTCCCTGGCAGACGCAACACACCTCTATTGTCCCGGCGTCACGCCCAGGGGAAATCGGCAGTCGCCTTTTCATATCTCTGTCTTCCCTTATCTTCGTCTTTCTCTCACACTTTTTATCTGTCCTGTCGTCTTTTTTCTTCCATTTACTTCCAAATTTTCTGGCGACGAGGGTTAATCTTGTGTAGGTATCGAACCTTGGGTAAATACATTAGGTTATAGTGGCGATGCATGGCTGGCGTTTCTAAGTGTTTGTGAATCAGCCTTGTAGCGTCCCCTCATTGGGCTCAGTGGTGGGCGGCCACCATCATCGTCGAAATATATATACTCTCCGCATGGCAAACACCTTCCCCCCTTTCCTGATCGCTCCCTCAAAAGGTGGCGCACCGAAGAAGCAATCACCCTAACCAAACCAAAGCAAAGCTTTCCAAAACATCATGTCATTCATAGTCAAAAACGAAGTGAGATAATCATAAGATTAACAGGTGAAGTGCCTCAGACTGGCTGACCGAGGTTTCGATAAGAGGACCTATCTTTTTCAAAGGTGCCGTGTCATCCTTGGCGTGTTAGTTTTAAAGGGGTCAGTGGTGACGTCATATGATGGTGGTGGCACGTGTCTCTGTTGATGATCGCTGTCTGAAAAGGAAAAAGAAAAAGAGGACTCCAGTCCTCGCTTCATTTCAAGTCAGGTGGTAGTGATTCCAAAATGTTCTCAGAGAGTGGAAAAAAAAAAAGAAAAAAAAAAGGAAAGCGCAAAGTTGGAGCGGTGTGCTGCAAAAGGGGCGGCCGCTCCAGACACGAACAAGTGAAAGAGCTTAAAGCTTAGGAGTCAGCAGATGGTCACCGTGTCCGGCTAGCAGAAAGGGTTGCCGACAATGGCAGTGTATGCCTGTTTCCTAAAACCTATGAATGAGACATACAACATGAAAGCAGTTACAAACAGGGGGTGGGGGAAGTAGGCGGCATATCTTTAAACACCAATATGTCGAAGGACAAGTGATACCAGATGGATTCTGAAGAGCGAGTGTTTAATGAGGATGGTCATTAGCAAAAATATACTTTCCGTGTCCCCGTAGGTGGCCCCCTCAGCAGAACTGATTCAAGACTTTGGCGGCATGTTGGCTGACAAAAAGGGAAACCGAGAAGGCTAAGGAAATGAGCAACGAGGAGAGAAACACATACAGAAAAAAGTGGGGGGAGAAAAAGACAGGGGGGATAGGTGGAAAGTTAGGGTAAACAGGGAAAAAAAAAAAGAGGAGAAAAAAAAAAGGGAAGAGAGAAAAGGCGCAGAGATGTCCTGTAACAATGCGCGGTAGGAGGGGTTTTAGAAACGAGAAAAGAGGAAACAAAACAGTGGTTTAACGGTTCTTTTAAATTAAAACTTCGTAGTTGTATATACACACATTCATATCTATAACTTAAATTGAAATATTGAAGGAGAACATTAATAGTACAATATGCGGGCAGGGAGCGATTCAATGTAAAGCTGGTTATGTCTATTTGAAGGTTGAACATATCTTTTCTCTCTAATATTGCCTCAATGATGCTATGGCTTTCAGTGATTCTAAATTGTCATGTGCTACATTTATTCCTGATGGGTATAGGGGCTTTCATTTGTCTAACAAATATGAGTCCATGTATTTTCTCTCTTGTGGTGACCCGAAATTAGTTTGTAGAACGTAAAGCTTTGCTTGGTCGAAATTGTGGCCCTGTTCGTTGAAGTGACTGGCTACTGCTTTTGGTGAATTGTGCTTTGTGTCTCCACGGTGGCCATTCAGTCTTACGTGAATCAGCTGCCCAGTTTTGCCTATATATTGTTTCTTACAAGTGGCACACTCAAGACAGAACATTAAGTTATTTGAAGTACAGGTGAAGCTCGATGCCACTTTGTGAATGTAATCAGATGCTGTGCTTTTTACGTTGATAGTCAGCTGTATATGTTTGCAGGTGGAGCATATGGACTGGTCACAGGAGCCAGACGTTGCCCTAGTTTTTCCTTTAAGTTTTGCACAAACAAGCATGTATTTCAAGTTAGCGTTGCCTCTGTAGGCAACTTTAGGCGATTCAGGAAAGATTTTCTTAAGTTTCTGGTTGGTTGTTAGAATTAGATAGTATTTTGTGAGGAATGTTGTTTATCTTCGGGAGTGCATTAGAAAACTTTGTAGTAAGAAGAGGCGTAGTTGCTGTTGGTGGGATTTAGAATGTGCTTTGGTTGCTTCATTGAGATTCAGTTTCATTGAGTTCGTGTAGACTTGGTTAAGGAATGTGTTAAGATGGTTTCCTTTCTGATAGTGTTCCTTTTAGGGCAGTAAGTCTTTTTACGTAATCCTCGTTTTCTATGCATATGTGGCATAGCCTTGTTGCCTGACTCTTGAAAATGCCCTGTTTACAATGTCTTGTATATTCTAAGTGTTGTTGTTTGTCAAATGGTTTTTTATACAGAGTTGTCTTTACTTACCATTTTCAAGATAAATGGTCATGTCTAAAAAGTTGATGCGCTGAGTCCAGGTATCGGAGGTGAACATTATTGTTGTATGAAATGAGTTTAGAATGAAGTGAATTTATCTAGGTTCTGCTGCCTATGTCCCCATATTATAAATACGTCATCTATGTACCGAAGGTATGTGTGAGGTTTGTTCTCAAAGTGAGACAGGAACTTGGTTTCCAGAATTCCCATGAATATATTTGCGTAGGTGAGAGCAAATTGGGTACCCATGCTTGTTCCCTGTATTTGAAGATAGCAGTTTTCCTCGAATTCAAGGTAGTTATGTGACAGTACTTATTCTAGTAGTGTTAAATATACTTCAATACAATGTTGTGCACTCTGTCGGGATAAGGTTAGCTCAACTGATGCTAAGCCCTCAGGGATAAGAATATTGTTATATAAAGGGGTAATATCTAGTGTGACAAGAATGGCTTCTTGCTGTAGAGTGCCATTCTTAATATTTCCTCTATTATTTTCCCTAGGTGGGGTGTATCTTGCACAAATGACGGCAACCACTTTGGAATTACACCTAGATTGTCACTTATGCAAGATACACTAATGATCTTCCCCATTAAACATGGGCTCTTCAGAACCTATCTGATATCGCTTGCCTTTGGCATCTTGGCATTTAAAAATATACCGCCTACTCCCCCCCCCCTCCCCCCCTGTTTGTAACTGCTTTCTTGTTGTATGTCTCATTCATAGGTTTTAGGGAACAGGCGTACACAGCCATTGTCGGCAACCCTTTCTAGTAGCCGGATGCGGTGACCATCTGCCAACACCGAAGCTTTATGCTCTTTCACTTGTTTGTGTCTGAAGCGACCATATTTTTCATGTGGTGTTGTCATACCACAACACCCTCAACCTAATCCCTCTACCCGACCCTTACCAGGAGGATTGGGGGTCAGCCTTGCTCCGAACTGACGGCCTAGTAGGCCTTAGTCCAGCGGGCCCGGATCACGGTCGAGGCCAACGGGTAAAAGGGTGCCCTCCTTGTACGGAGCGGCCTCATCAACAAACCACTTTCTGCCCTCCCTGTGAATAACTGCTGTAAATAAATTGTTTTATTGCAATAGCAATTATATGTACACTCTCAGCTGGATTTTGCCGCCAGCGTCGATGTCATGCACCGTATATGTATTTGTATCCATATATATGAAAACGCAAGAAGGAAAAAAAAAATCCAGGAAAAAGACTCCGGCGCGAGGAATCGAACGTGGGACCTCTGCAGCATGAATGCGAGATGTTGACCACTGAGCCATTGAGAGGTACTTTCTTCAACATTCAAACGACAGGCTATTTATATTTACCATTTACCGCTGTTGGCAGTCATCTCGTGGGGGGGGGGGGGGGGGGGGGGGGTACTATCGTGTTTTGGGATTATCAGCGAGGTGGCGCATTGAGCGCGCGGCGGCTCGGAAGAAAGTGGACGATCTCTCATGCGTTCTTATCTCCCGGTGGGGAGGATCATACGTCTTGGCTGGCTTTAGGCTTGCACTGGAACGATTCTGTTGTAGTTACGGGGCGCACAAAGGTCACTGCAATCGTTGCACAGTCTCTGTTTGTGAAAAGGGCAGGCTTTTCAGACACAGCGAAGTAACAGCTGAAATGCTTATTTGCGTTCACCTGTACCTGTGAGTACGTTACGTGCGTCATTTGTGCGTGAGAAATATAGGGCGCGTTTCGACCTGCTTGCCATTCTGCGTGTGGCCTTCCAATTTATTGCTATCGTGTTCATTGCTTCGCATTTGGGGCAACGCTGTGACTTTTTTTGTGTCAGCCAGTACAAAGAATGCGGTTTTAAGAAAGTCGCCCTGCCCACCTTTAGCCAGAGTTCTACACGCTTGCGTGCTCTGCACTTTGGCCTTTTGCCTCTGCACGTTGCCTCATCTCCCAAGCTTATCTTTTGAAGAGTGGAGGTTTCAACAAGTGGCATATAGCCTTTTGTGCTTTCATCGAAAAGTTTGCATTGAACCGTAGACTGTTCGTAGTTCACTTTGTTTCCTGCAGCAGCACTGTTCGCCAAAGGAGTGAGGGGCTAGCCTTCTGCATCACATTCCACTTTGTCGCTCTCGCATTCAGTGCGTCGCAGTTGCTGCAGAACTACGACATTTTTTTTCTCATTATGGTACGGCAACCTTCATTTTCTTGCAGAACACAAAAATATAATTTTAAAAATGGAACGTCAAAGTGCTAAAGCACATTCTATCACAGTGCCACGAAACTCCGTGTCTGTACCCGTATACATTATTTGAATGTTGTAAGTTTGGTCCCATCTGGTGGCAAGTTGTCTTTTCGACCTTTTTAATTTATTCACATTTTTATCACTGATAATACGTATTTAGCAGATGAGCCCGTAACACGTTTGTTAGAGAATAGGCAGAGATGAAACGACTAGTTGTCAAGCGGAGCGAGCAGCAACAGCAGCCCTCAATTCCTTCTGTCGCTTACATCCCTGTCTGTGTCATGTATCTATGCTACATCACAATTACTACAGTACAGCTAAAATACCTCAAAGGTTGTGTCTAACAAAAGAAAAGTAGCCCTTGATCAATTCCCTTTCTTTCTTCAATATTGACACTAAGAATTATCGTGACATTACCTGGTAGGTAAAAAAAAAAATTCGCAGCTTTTATTCGTGTCCTAGCAGAGCAGTGTCAAAAAAACAACCCATTGGAACTTTGTCTAAATTTTGCAAATACTTTTCCCACACCGTAAGATGAGATGAGCCACTTAATTTTCCGCTGCTGCCTTGGAGGATGAGTGGAATGATTAAAGTTAAACTGAAGTAGGTATCCTGTTTGCCGACTGCTGCTTAATTATGGCACAAACTGCTTAATCTGGCCCGGCCCCGCCAGTGGTGGTCTAGTGGCTAAGGTACTCGGCTGCTGACCCGCAGGTGGCGGGTTCGAATCCCGGCTGCGGCGGCTGCATTTCCGATGGAGGCGGAAATGTTGTAGGCCCGTGTTCTCAGATTTGGGTGCACGTTAAAGAACTCCAGGTGGTCAAAATTTCCGGAGTCCTCCACTACGGCGTCTCTCATAATCATATGATGGTTTTGGGACGTTAAACCCCACATATCAATCAATCAATCAATCAATCAATCAATCAATCAATCAATCAATCAATCAATCAATGCTTAATCTGGCCCATTCTCTCTTCCAGATCGGTCCAACGCAGTCATGGCAGCCGACATAGCTGTGCCGCCGTCGCTGGTTTAGTGAGATCGGACAAACGTAGAAGGCCGAAGCAAAGGGGCGGGGGCTGCTGTGTCCAGTGGAGTGAAGTGCCTGAGCATTCTTTCGGTCACCACTCACGCTGCATTCCTTTTCTTCTCTCAGTAGGGATGTGTACATGTTGCCGGGTCACCTGTTAGCACACCCAATCTACACCATACACCTGAAAATTAGGAGAGATCCCTAGGCAGCTGTGCCTTCCAAGATCAGCGCCAAATTATAGTGATGGCAGTTTCTGGGGCGAAAGCCTTTGGTTTTTTGGAATTAGGGGACCACTTCGAAGCCGACACCCCAACAAAAAGCGGTGGCTGTATTGCTACACAAAGCCCAAGCAGTTATGAACATTTCAAACTTGAGTCTTGTACAAGAAGATAATAATAATAATAATAATAATAATAATAATAATAATAATAATAATAATAATAATAATAATAATAATAATAATAATAATAATAATAATAAATAAAAACATGTAATAATAAATAAAAATAAACTGAACATTCAGCACCTGGTCCGCTTGGTTCAAACACCTCAAGAGACTGCCGCTTTGCAGACTAAAGTGCTTAGAAGCAAACTTCGGAGTATATGCTGCGACACTTTCAGGGTCACAGACCTTGTCAGTAGGTCATCTTCAAGGAGACCATTGCAATCGCTGTTATCATCCAACCTATTGCTTCTCGTTGACGAAAAACTCATGATGATAAATAAAACTTCTAAGCATTTGGTAGAAACCATAGTCAGGTCAATTTGTAGCTGTGGTCGACATGTTTTGTTGCTGCATCTGGCAGCCTATAAATATTGCTGTGTTTTGTTTTTCTGTGGCCCAATCTTTTCTCAATAACAGCGACGTTTCAATCAATCAGACCAGATTCCTCTGCAGCTCTGCTTTGACATTGTGCGAACTGTTTTGCAGGAACATGCTGATACAGCTGAAGAAGGAGCGGCTGAGGCAGCACCTAGCAGTAGCAGCAGTGAAACTTAAAGCGACACCACGGATTTGGGGTGAGCTCACCGGAGTGATGGTAAGCACGACTGTCCGTTGAGCTGCATAGGCGTTCATTCTAGAGCTTCCTCCTCTAAGCGAAGCACAGTGTGAAGCTGGGCAATTTTATTGCAATAACAATTCTATGGTCACTTGAAGGGTATTTTTGTCATTGTTGTCATGCTCAGTGTAAAGTTAGAAATGTTAACGTCGCCCCGCACTTGATATGTTTTATGCGTGTCAAAACTTGCAATAGCTGCCGTCAAGCGAAGGAGGAGGGAGGGGGGGAAGGCGTCGTTCGCGTAGAAACTGCGAACTTTGACCAAACGGGTGCCATTTGCCTTGTGTCGTCGCAGATCAGCAGACAGATCTATCTTACTGCTCGCTTCACGATGATGTGACATATCGCACAAAAACAGCTTTTCGTAAAGTTCTGCCAGCTGGAATCATAACGAAGTCACCTCTTAAGCTCGCTTCATTAATACCTGACAACTTTTTTCTGTGCTTTTTATTACATCACCTTTGCGGCCTCATTGATTACATTTTTGTTCATATATTGATTCAGATTAAAATAAGTTATGGCATTGTGCTCTATTGGACGCCATTCAAGTCATGTTTTGTGGTGTCTACCGACCACTTGGAATTGTCAAATATTTTCATGTAATTTTTGAAAAAGAAGGCTTGGTCATGAAAACACACAGAGTACAATCTGTGCTGCTGTTTTGGGTATATATATATATGTTTCATCGAAATCCACCCTACGATTGAAATACCAATGGCTGAGCAAGAACATAAAGTAAGGGGAGTGCATAACTGTTGTTCGTGCAGCATGTCACCAAAAAGATTAGTCTTAACGAAAATACTTCAATGCTTCCTGAGTGATGTGGCTCTCCAAATCAAAACGCAGCATCATTGCACAGCATTTTTCGAAACACAAACCGCTTCTTCATGGGTCCGATTTATCGTATAGCGTTCTCCATCTCCGAACTTGTGTTTGTGGGCTACGCAGGCGCCTCTGTTAAGGCAGCAAGAGTGGTGAGGTTTGAATAGCGACCGCAGAAGCCGGTTTAAGGATGCTGGGTCTGGCTACTTGCACCAATTTGGCTAGTATCTTAAATGCGTGGTGGCAAAAAAAAAAGTTGGCTACTTATTGGCTACTTTATTGCTCCCTACATTTTACACAATTGTGGATAACTTGTGACATGGCAGCCACAGGCGTTTTAGTATGTGATGTAAAAACATTACGAGGAAGGTGGAATTGGGTACTTGCATCATAGAAAGAAAAAAAAAAAAAAGAGAGAGTTTTGGATACAAGACTGGGAGTCGTGGGAAAGCTGCTGCACGGGCCATCATATTGCAGAGCACCTATTGCTCAATGTGACTTAAAACTGTTATGCAAAATGAACAGGGCTATCGAAAGCACTCTGCATTCAGGATGCTCAGCACTCATCGAGATTAGAAAATGCATATTGAAAAAGCTGTTCAAGACATGGACTGCAACATTGGAATATTAACTGCTTGGACATTGTCAATCACTCGAGCAGTGATTGCAGGAGCAACTACAGTTTATGCTTTAGTTCCAAAAGCTGTGAAACAAAACTGGTTATCACTGCATCTGCTGCGGATGGAAGTTCTCTCGTTGGTGATGTGATCGCAGACAGCATCCACGCAATTCTGAAGGGTCGCTCGTAACCTGTACAACTAAGTCGCAGTGAAAGTACCCTGTTTCGGTGCTTATGTCATCAGGGCTTGGTCTCTGCTTATAGAGCTCTGGTACAGGCTTGACGTGAGCCTGTGTTCATATTTTGATGGTGTTTCTGCAATGAAGCTGGCTGTCAGCGAGTCTCTAAAATAGGTCACGGCAGCCGACTTTCAGGAAGGGCTTGCAGCATAGCAGTCGTGTTGGAAGCAGTGCAAAGACATCCAAGGAGATAATATTCAAAAATTGTAATAGCATGCACCGATTGGACCAATATATTCTTTGTACTAGAGCTAGTCTCATTGCTTTACAGCCAGGCCCAGTATTTCACCTGTACGCTAGTACTGTTTCCTTCATTGTGATTTTGTGGCTCTTCACGCTTGGAACTATGACCACAGTGTGGCCAGATATATTAGAATTACCTCTTGGTAACATCGTGATGTAAATAATGAATGCTTGGACTGGCCGGATGTAGTCATCCAATTAACTAAGGCCAAATCAAGGAAGTTGCACTTGTTATCATGTAGTACATGTGTTTGTTATGATAATAGCTTGTGCAAGCACGTCTTTCAGTCTTTTAATCTGGCAAACTGCTTTCAAAACCATAGTTCCTATTCAAAATGTTATGTAGCACTCTGGCCACATCTGGCCCGTGTACCTAAAAAAATTATGCTGCAGCTGAGTAAATTTACTTTGACTGATTTGTGAGTAAATTGTGTCTGTTGTCTTATAGGAACATGCCTACATGAATGAAGGACCCTGTGAAGGAGCACTTCACAAGAGCCCCTGTGTCATGTCATGGACAGACAGCACTGAAACTTGCGTTACCATGCTTTTGAGACATTGCATTGCCATTACCAGTCCAAAACCACGGACCTGTACTTTATGGATTTTTTTTATGTTATGCTTAAATATTTGTCTTATGAACATGACGCTACAGTATTATAACTACCCCTCTATGTAATGTCCATGTGGCCCTTAGAGTTCCTGAAATAAATAAATTTCAACCATATGGTGTCTTTAACATCACCAGTACATGGCACTAAAAGATTTTGCCTCTACCGAAATGTGACACCGCGACTAGAATTTAACCTGCTCCAAATAGGTCAACACACGAACACCACTGATCCATTGTGGCGGATGAGAGAACGCTTACTAACTGACTGAGAATTGATTGCACTTTTCAGGCTATGTGCTCTGCTGTAATGTTCACTCGCAATTTCCCAGATGCCCCGACCACAAATAAACATCGTTTTCTGACCACGTTGAAATAGTGTTGCGGCCCTCTTTAAAGGAGCCCTCTAACACTTGTGATGACCTCATTGCTTTACATGTTCTTTTAGCTGGTTGTATATACTGAATGCTTAAGAGATAAGTGCCGCAAGAACGACAGCAATAGGGGCACGCAGTTCAAAGTTATTCAGCGTAGAGATATCAATATACAATGAAATGGATGCTAACCCTCAATTAGATTTTTGCAGGCTCATCTGACTGTGTTTTCCTCACCCTGTGAAGTCGAAAGGCTGCCAATAAAATGAATTGAAAGCCCCACTGTGCAGGAAGTTTGCATGTCATGATGCCCGTTATGTCCAACGTATTGAAAACGCTGTTGCGATGGTAACAAATGATGTGGTGCTTGAAGAAAGAACGGCACGTGCGAAACGAGGCAGCTGCGCGATTGCTTTTATAACGTCCTGTAGCTTTACTGATCTTTCTTTTTGCGAGGCCATCTATATATCAATGCTCTTACATTTTTTTTAGTTTCTTCAAACAACATTGCCTGGAGCATCGCCGGCGCGTTTTTTAACAACACCGTGGCATTCCGTGCAATCTTTGATCAGCTTTGCAATCTTCAAGCTGAAGAAGTTGTACAGCTTTATTCTCTTCCGCATTCAGTGAAAACCATGCTAAAGAAAAAAAAAATTAGCAGTACTAATCCCCAATTTTGATGCAATGCCGCAATACCATTTAATGTTACATTTGTCCAATCACAGGTCTACCTCTTCCGTTGTCATTTTCGCTTGCAATAGTTCTGGTGAATGCCACTACGAATTATGCATGCAGCACTGATGCTTTGAAGCGTTGGAGGGCCCCTTTAACAACTATGGATGAGCCGGTTTGTATGCTTTCTTAGCTAGATTAGATGAAATGCTGCTGAGATACAAATCAACAGAAATAGGTGTACGAATAATCAAACATGCTTTACCATTCACTCTTTTGTGTACAGCATGATCAAGACTGGTCTGATTGTGTCATCCTCATAATGTCACCGATGGCAAAAACTGTGACGTCATGAATTATGGCGTGACTTAACGCCACACCATGCCATTGTGGTGCCCCAATTTGGGTGGCAAACGAAACCGGGGAGCGTGTGACCTCCAGAAGTGAAAATGTTCTCTTTTATACACCTCGGCTGAGGGAAAAAAATAGGGTGGTTTTTGTGATGTCTTCATGACTTAGGTAGCTCACTAGCCAACACACATGTTTATTGAAACTCAATACAACAGAGCAAATCGTAGCGCGCAGATGTGGCGGACTTATAAGCTAACAGAGAACAAAACAGTGACGTCAGAGAGCCAGGCACCCACATGTACATCATAGACACGACACGCAGAGTGTAGAATGATGTCGGAGAACAACACATGTTCTGTCTTTATGTGGCATGACAAAATCCTCCCCCCTCCCCCATGTTCTTAGTAACGGTCAGGAGGCCACCTTTGCCGGATGTTGTGTCGAAGTTCTGGTTGGGAAGGAATTGAGGCTCGCCCCCGCCTAAGTCTCCGTCTGCAGACGAAAGGCTCAGTAGGGTTACCGGGTCTTAGCCGGTGTCGTCTGCCTGCTCATTCACTTGCTTGGCGTCAGTCGTCTCTCGTGCACCATCAGTGGACCAGGGCCTCCAAGGCGCAACGTCTTAGGTGTGTGCTGGAAGTTCGTGGTTTGCACACAGCGCCTGAATCGGTGGCGAGAAACACTCCTTTGATGTCCGTGGTCTCATACGATCAACATGCACGCAATTGTACTGTTTCCCTATCGCATAGCTATTGCTTAAACTCGCACGTTTCTTTACTGTACTGCTCTCCTTTCCTGGGGTGCAGTCCTTGTACGAGGACATCTTCCCCTTCCTCAAAGTCTTTTTGAGCTCCCTGTCGCTGATTGGCTGTGGCTGACTGCCTTGTTTACTAACATCTTCTTTCATCCTTTGCTCGTCATCTGGATGTATAAGGCTCAATGTGGTTCTAGGTTTTCATGATCAGCTGAGCTGGCATCTCTTCAGTAACACCTGCTGGCGTGTTCCCAGTGGCGTACCAACTCTTTCGCGAGGGAGGGGCAAATCTAGAGCACGCACACACACAGGCACACGCACAGGCACGCACGCACGCGCACACACACACACGCACACACACACACACACACACACACACACACACACATATACAGGGTGTCCCACATAACTTGAGCCAAGAATTTGAAAATGAAAGACACTTCAGTGGGGAATTGAACCAAACACGTACAACTAGCATTAGCCTGTAGATACTCGGACAATTTTTTCTTTCTCCCCATGCTAATTATATAATAATTCTTATTTACCCATTTTTTAATTATGGGTTGGAAACCCAAAATATGAACACTGAGATGTAGAGCACATTCAGAAACCACCGACTAAATTGTTCGCTGTATGATACGTCCAGCGCTGTTATTTTTTCTGCGTTGTAAAGAAAACCTATAGCAGTGCACTCGCGATCTATCACATGGCTTCTTTTCATATTTCACAGAACAGCGCGTGACATATTGTACAGGAAACAATTTAGTTGGTGGTTTCTGAAAGTCCTCTACATATAGGTGTTCATATTGTTACCTACAATCCAAATGGTGTACGAATAACTGTTTATTGGGGCTAACTTGTGTCGAAAAGTAAAGGAAAATGTAGCGGCGTTTCTAACAGGCGATCAGCAAAAGGGGATCAATCTCTGAGAAGCCCTCGAGTGGTGCACCACTTTTTTTTTCATCAAAATCCCGTGCTGAGGAGGCACGCTCCGTCACGGCCTTTTCTTGTTTCAACATCAAGCCGCTGGTCACTTGGGGGGCGTACGAACTAGCGCGCGTAGTTTGAATACTGCGTCTGCCTTGCGTCATTATCCCTCCTCCAAAATCGCATCGTCCCAATGCATAAAAGCAGTGTTGCTAAGATGGTCTGAATGCGTGGTTTCCATTGGAGAAATAGGTATTCCTCATGATCGGGTGTGTATAGTTCGATGTTCACTGCCTGTCATAGTATGGCTTCATTCTGACTACATGCACGATTTCTGTGCTCCTTCGGCATCTTGATGAGCTCACTTGTCCTTCCGGTGACACCTCGTAGTTCAAGTAGCTGACGCAACGAAGGACTCGATAAGGGCCAAAATAGCGGCGCATGAGTTTTTCGGAGAGGCCAGGCGTCTGCACGGGAGTCCAAATCCAAACTCGGTCGCCTGGTGCGTAGTCGACTCCTCTCCACCGAAGGTTGTAACGGTTTGCATCCACGCGTTGTTGTTGTTTTATGTGATGTCGCGCCAACTGCCACGCTTCTTCGGCTCGCTGAATGAATTCGCTGATGTCAGGCTTGTGCTCTGTATTGCCGCCTACAGGCAGCATTGCATCTAATGGTGTGATAACTATTCGACCATAGACTAGCTGGAATGGCTTCACTTTAGTAGTCTCCTGCACAGCAGTATTGTAAGCGAAAGTGGCATACGGCAGTATTTTGTCCCACGTACGGTGCTCCAAGTCAACGTAAATGGACAACATATCGGTTAGAGTTGTGTTGAGTCGCTCGGTTAGCCCATTCGTTAGGGGGTGGTAAGTCGTTGTTTTCCTATGACATGTGTGGGTTTCATAATGGACTGCATCAGATTGGCTGTGAATGCAGTTCCTCGATCCGTCATAACCACCTTTGGGGCACCATGCCCTAGTACAATGTCAGTGATGAAAAATTCAGCGACTTCTATAGCCGTGCCCCTAGTGAGATAGGCTGTCTCGGTATACCGGGTTAAGTAGTCTGTCGCCACTACTATCCATCGATTGCCCATTGATGACGTAGGAAATGGACCAAGTAGATCCATTCCTACTTGTTCAAACAGAGATTCAGGTGCTTCGATTGGTTGGAAAAATCCTGCAGGTTTCAATGGAGGCGTTTTGCGTCTCTGGCAATGTCTACATGTCCTTACATAATGCTCTACAGCATCCAGTAACTTTGGCCAGTAGTACTTGGTGCGGATGCGAGCCAATGTTCTACTCACTCCGAGGTGTCCTGCTGCTGGGTCATTGTGGCAGGCTTCTAGGATTTCGGGTCGCAAGGCCGAAGGAACGACGAGTAGGAATTTCTCCCTGCTGTGTTCGAAGTTCCTCTTTTATAAAACGTTGTTTCTCATCAGGTACGAGGACAATCCTAGGACGAAAACTCAAGGAACACGCACTGGTTGCCCTTCCAGATGCTTGATCAGTTTAAGCAACTCTGCGTCAGATCGTTGATATTCAGTCAAGTTTGCGGTGCTGACAGCCCCAAGAAACGGAAAGTCGTCTTCATCTTTCACAGGTGCAGATTTCATTGGTGCGCATGACAGGCAATCAGCATCGCTGTGCTTGCGACCCGACTTGTATACGACTGTTATGTCGTATTCTTACCACCTGAGGCTCCATCTAGCATGTCGCCCAGAAGAGTCCTTAGGCCTGCGACTCAGCACAGCGAGTGATGGTCGCTCACTGCTCGAAATGGTCTGCCATATAAGTACGGTCGGAATTTTTGTATGGCCCATATTACTGCCAGACATTCTTTTTCCGTCGCCGAATAATTTATTTCAGCTTTCGAAAGAGTGCAACTAGCATATGCGACCACTCTTTCCTTTCCGTTTTGCAGCTGCACAAGGACGGTGCCTAGTCCCAAATTGCTTGCGTCTGTGTGAATCTCTGTTTCGGCTTCTTCGTGGAAATGTGCCAGGACGGGGTGGTTTAGGAGTCGCTGTCATAGCTCATTGATTGTCTCTTCTTGCTCGCTTGTCCAGGTGAAAGGTGTGTCTTCTTTCGTCAGTCGAAAAATCTTTGATGAATCTTCTGTAAGAGGCACAAAGTCCTAAGAATCATCTCACAGCCCTTTTATCTGTCGGTCTAGGAAACTTTTCTACAGCTGCTGTCTTTTCGGGGCCAGGTCGAATGCCTTCAAAGCTAACCACATGACCGAGGAAAAGCAGTTCATGAAAACTAAAATGGCACTTTTGGGGTTTTATCGTCAGCCCTGCTGAACTAATTGCTTCGAGCACAGTCCGTAGTCGTTTCACATGCTGATCGAAGGTGGCTGAAAAGATTACGACGTCATCGAGATAAAAAAGGCAGGACTGCCATTTTAACCCGGACAGCACAGTATCCATCATCCGCTGAAATGTGGGGTGTGTGGAACATGGGCCAAATGGGAGTACCTTGAACTCGTATAACCCATCTGGGGTGACGAAAGCAGTTTTCTCGCGATCTCGTTCGTCCACCTTTATCTGCCAGTATCCGCTCTTGAGGTCTAGAGAGGA